CACTCACCACAAGTGAGAATATAAAGAACAAAATAATAACTTATTCTCACACAACAAATATCAACTGTACACACATGTCATTTCCTGGACCTATACCAAAGTGTGAATGTAGGCTTCCTGCAACAACCCACATCGAAACAGAAAATGTCCTCTTGGGAATTCAGTTCCAATAATAATGAAAGCCTCCAGGAGCAGATGAGCCTAAGGGCTAATAGCTCATCTTCAGTCTGCTGATGTTTGCTATTGCCATTTCTTTGGTGGCAAAGTAAAAAAGAAAAGAGATAAGAAAAAAGACAACAATTAAGGACAAGTGTGTGCTTTTTCAGCATTTGACCTCGGTCACAGCCTTCTCTCCATTATTTGAGCAAATGTCTTCTTCCTGAGTCACTTCTCTCCTCCATCACAGCGGCTGTGCATATCACTTTTGCGTTGCTTGCGGAGCCTGCGCTTGTGCTCGGTTGATGACTGTCCTCCTCCTCATTCACTTGTTCACTTTCGCTGGTAATATTCTCCTCTGTACCTCTCTTCCGAATACCTCCCGTTTTGAGCCACGTTTTTAACATNGATTTACAATGAATGACTGTGAAGTGACTTTAGTTGGAGGACATGGTGTTGCGAATCCAGGAGTTGTAGTTGCAGACCTTGGCGTACAACAAGCCCGGAGTGTACGCCAAGGTCTGCAACTACAACTCCTGGATTCGCAACACCATGTCCTCCAACTAAAGTCACTTCACAGTCATTCATTGTAAATCAGAAAGCTGTATATCCCTTTAATAAATAAACATAGCAACGATTATTCTTCTACTTGATTTATTGGCAGAAGTATACATATTCTGCTCAAACTCATTACTTAAAATGTTGCCGAAACAAATTGTCTTGATTGTTAACAAACGTACAGATCTTTAGACTACAGGTAATAAATATAACTGATATTTGAGCCTTGCTATAACCCTTTTATCTAATATCTCTGGATTTCAGGATCCTATGGAAGTCTTATTTTATAAAGCGTTCTACATTTGGACCCAAGTAGGACATGATCACATAGAGATACAAAAATTACCTTTATTAGTTTTAAGACTAACTATAGCATACAACCATATACACGGAGTATCTTGGAAACACATTTTGAACAGATTTTCATGATTATACCAAAATCAAATCTGATATTCAAGCAGGAACAAATATTTTTTTCAAAGGCAGTACAAAAATATGAATGCTTAACAACAATTCCTGTTGCAGGTGTCAAATGTGTGTTTTTGAGTAAATATTTTTAGAATATTGAGCAAAACTTCATTTCAGCTTTCATAATATTACAAGTCCATAATGGAGAAAACTCCTACGTCAATTTGATAATGAAAAATGTGTGTGAGAGTTAAACGGATATATTCACTTTCAATGTTAATACATTATGCTAAGAGGTGTCCCTGTTGGAGAACAGAACAAAACAAATGTACATAAATGTCTCTGAAATTTTTTTATTTTGATTTGAGTCAAGAAAAGACCGTCATGATCTGAGATAAACCCTTTTGACATGTTATTTTTATCTGCGTTGCTTTATTGTTGGGCAGAAATGTAATTATATAAACTAAATAAGGCTCATAAGTTCTTTCTCAAGTGTCCAAACACAATATTTTGTACATTCAGTATATTTCAGAATCTGTAAACAGGTTGAATACATGACCGTAAACTAATCTTCCATTTTGCTGCATTATATTTCCCATAGCCTTACCATGTGGGTAAATGACAATCTTTTCTGATCTAGGACAAAAGAAGCCCCTGTGAAACAATGTATTAAAAAAGTATAAACACATACACGGTGCATTGTGTCTCTTTTTAGGTTATTACAGCTGGCCTCTAGCATGCTGCAAATAATGGTGATAGAGGTCTGAAATGGCAGGATATGCATTACCGCAAACAGCACACTTAATACCGTCTGCAGACCCTTCATGTGATGTGCTGGCATTTTGGCTTACAGTAATTGGTTTCCCAAGTGCATTTTCATCTATTCTGTCCCAACTGGTTTCTCTGTCTTGGATACAATGTGTGCTGCTCTGTTGCTGGGTACTCTTACCCAAATCCAGATGCTTACTTTGGATCGAGGAAGTCATTGGCGCTAAAGGAAACTCTTGAGTTACTGAACATTGGGATACAGGGCCAAGACAATAGTTGTTTAATTCAGGATCTGGGCTTAATGTAGCTTCGTGGTTGCTCTTGGTAAACTGTGTAGTGCTATCATCTATGATTACATCAAAATCAGAGTCCTTTTGCATTGAGTTATGGCAAATCTGGTGACTGAACAGCAAATCTAGAGTCTTAAAGCTGCACCTGCACTCATCACATTCATAAGGCCGAAACGTTTTTCTGGGCCTGAACGGAACCCACTGCACCTCTGCGTGTTCCCTCATGTGTTTTTTGTATGTTCCCACAAACCGAAAACCTTTCCCGCACTGGGGACAAGTAAAACGTCCGCGTCTCTGTCGGTGGATTCTCTGATGAAGCCAAAGTTTATTCCAGTCTTCTAGAGTCTTGCCGCAGCTGGAGCAGGTGTAACTTAGACCCGGGCCATGGGTGAGCATGTGGGCTCGGAGTCGGCCCATGTGTCTGAAGAGCCGCCCGCAGCTTGGACAAAAATATTTCCTGGGGTCTGAGCCGTTATCAAGTTTATTTAACTTTGACACAAAGTGTGAGAGTGGATGAGCCGGGACGACTGTCGACTGGAAACATTTTTTTACTTTAGCAAGGTGTTTCTTGGGGCTGGCGGCCGATGTTTTTTTGAGTGTTTCACAATTTCCAGCAGTGAGTGGAGAAGCTGAATTGTGTCCTGCTGCACACCTTAGTGCAGGCACCTTGTACTGAATTAATGACATTGTTTCTTCCGCTTTTATCTCGAAGCTGGAGGTGTTATTCTTCTCTCCTCTGCAGTGACTGCGATGGGCGTTAAATCCAGACAGCACACCAAACAGCTTGTCGCAATACAAGCAGCGATACAGCTTTGCGCCGGTGTGTTCTCTCATATGGCTGTTGAACTCCTGCAGATGGGCAAAAATATTCTTGCAGATGTGGCAGGTGTACGTTAGTGAAGACTTTACACGTTTGTCGGGTTGTGATTCGTCACTGCTTTCCGAGGGTCTGCAGGTGTGATTTTTTGCGTTGCTGTAATGAGTGAATGATTTCTCACAGCGGGTACAGTTGTAACGCTTCACAGACCAGTGTGTCAGCTCATGAACTCGGAGGAAATACGCCTGACCGAAAGCTTTGCCACATATGTCACATTTATAAGGCTTCTCTCCAGTGTGGGCCCGCACATGTCTGATGAGGGCTGACTGAAACGGGAATGTTTTACCACAGTACTGGCACTCTTTTTTCTCTTTCTCTTCGGGGGGAACATGTCTCTGACACCCCTGACTATTTTCCTGGTGGTTCCCTCTGCTGCTTCTTTCAGATCTGGTGGCCTCAAAGTCCTGGTTGTGTGCATGCTCTATCATATGAGTGGCATACTCTGAGCATGGGAATTTGATCTTGCAAAATCGACATTTTTTATATTTGTTGCTCTTATTGTGCGTCTTGAGATGAAGATTTAAGTTGGAATTTTTGCTAAAACCTTTTCCACATTCAGAGCATTTGAAAGGTCGTTCTCCTGTATGAATGCGTTGATGGATGACGAACTGAGAATGAAATTTAAATGTTTGCTCACAGTAACCACATTTCATCAAAATTTTCCCTCCTTTTTTAATGTAGCTGACATTTGAGTTGGCGTCCTTGGTGTCATCACTTCCTGTTTGGCCCTGTACAAGCGATTCTCTCTGCAACAAAACATTACCCATTCTCCTCCTTCTCTTGCCGCCTCTCCTGCGCCTGAAATAGCAGTTTGGACTCTCAGCTGTGGTGCTGGCATTGCAATGTAAAGATTCAAGACTATTTGACATAGGATTTAAAGGATCCAGCTCAATTTCAATTTTCTCAGCTTTCACAGCAGGGGGCACACTTACAGGTTTAGGTATTTGAGAGTTTGTTACGGCTACTGTTTTCTGTAAGGCTTCAATATTTTGTGATTCAAATGTGCTTTTGGATTGTAATTCCTCCCTGTCATTCATGTTTCCTGAAGTTGGGCCTACCACATTTAAACGCTTTGAAGGAATAACTTCAGGCTCTGTCTGCTGCTCTCCTCCAGACTGCAGGGAGAGGTGACAGGTCCTCTCGTCTGTACCGGCCTCTTGCTTGTCTGTGTTAATTCCCACCTGCTTATCTGTCTCAGCCCCCTCCCCACAGCCTGTGTGGTTGCTCAACAGTGTGCAGGCCTCCTGGGAAACATCCAGTCTGGACACTTTTGCTGGAACCTGCTGATCAGCCTGTTCAGCTCTTCTTCTCATAAAACCTTGAAAGTTCAATATGTTACTATTGTGCTCGAGGTCTTCCTTGCTATCACAATCAGGCTTTCCATCCTGTTTCGAAGGGTGTTGATCAGCTTGACTCCTCAGTGTTCGTGTAGCACGGCTTACATTATAAGCATCAGCCGAAGCAGCAGGAGAACTAGCAGCACCAGTCTTAGCAACCATAGCGTTATAAGCTGAGATTTCTGTTTTTCGTGGCCTTCCTCTTTTTCTTTTTGGCAGCACAAGGACACAGCGAGGAGCCCCGTCTATAGCGTTAGGCACATCCTTACTGTTGTAGTTCTCTAAACAGGTTGGCAGAGGTATTGTCGTGCTGATCTCCTTATGTTGAACTGCATCAAAACCAGCAGAATCTGGGTATCTATTGTCTTTAGTCAACAATGACTTTATTTTCCGCGGGCGCCCACGTTTCCTGTGTGTCTCCACATGCTGCCCAAGACGGTCCGTTGTAGAGCTGCACAAATTTGCAGATGTCATCTGAGACTCTGCTTCCATCCCTACCTGCGGCAATATGTGTCCACTGTGTTGATTAAGGGTTCCGCCTGCTGTTTCAAAGTTAACACGGCCGTCAGTCTCCACGAACTCCGATGAGTGGGATTCAGATGCAGGGTGATTCAGTTCCTCTCCCCACCTGGAGTCCAGGTCTTCCTCACTGCATCTCTCATCTTCAGGCATCTTTGGAAGAAGAAAAAATGTCATTAGTCACAAATGTTATGTATTGTTGCGTAAGTATTTTCTAATAGTATAAAGTAAAAGGCATGCATACATTGGTATGAACCCAAATTATATATTTTTTTATAATGTTCATGTCTATTTGTATGCATTTAAAACTAAAACAGTAAAGTGTACGATAGAAGATCACATGCCAGTGAAAAATAATAAAAACATTTCCAGAATTAATTTATTTGATGCTACAGGACCAACATAAACATAACAATGCTTCACTCCAAACCAAATATTCAAAATGTGAAAAAATATAAAGTAACAACAAAAGTCCTTAAATAAGAGTTTGGGAGATGTTATACAGACAATGCATCTACAGTGGGGCAAAAAAGTATTTAGTCAGCCACCAATTGTGCAAGTTCTCCCACTTAAAAAGATGAGAGGCCTGTAATTTTCATCCTAGGTATACCTCAACTATGAGAGACAAAATGAGAAGAAAAACAATCTAGAAAATCACATCTGATTTTTAAAGAATTTATTTGCAAATTATGGTGGAAAATAAGTATTTGGTCACCTACAAACAAACAAGATTTCTGTCTCTCACAGAACTGTAACTTCTTCTTTAAGAGCCTCCTCTGTCCTCCACTTGTTAACTGTATTAATGGCACCTGTTTGAACTCGTTATCAGTATAAAAGACACCTGTCCACAACCTCAAACAGTCACACTCCAAACTCCACTATGGCCAAGACCAAAGAGCTGTCAAAGGACACCAGAAACAAAATTGTAGACCTGCACCAGGCTGGGAAGACTGAATCTGCAATAGGTAAGCAGCTTGGTGTGAAGAAATCAACTGTGGGAGCAATTATTAGAAAATGGAAGACATACAAGACCACTGATAATCTCCCTCGATCTGGGTCTCCACGTAAGATCTCACCCCGTGGGGTCAAAATGATCACAAGAACAATGAGCAAAAATCCCAGAACCACACGGGGGGACCTAGTCAATGACCTGCAGAGAGCTGGGACCAAAGTAACAAAGGCTACCATCAGTAACACACTACGCCGCCAGGGACTCAAATCCTGCAGTGCCAGACGTGTCCCCCTGCTTAAGCGAGTACATGTCCAGGCCCGTCTGAAGTTTGCTAGAGAGCATTTAGATGATCCAGAAGAGGATTGGGAGAATGTCATATGGTCAGATGAAACCAAAATAGAACTTTTTGGTAAAAACTCAACTAGACGTGTTTGGAGGAGAAAGAATGCTGAGTTGCATCCAAAGAACACCATACCTACTGTGAAACATGGGGGTGGAAACATCATGCTTTGGGGCTGTTTTTCTGCAAAGGGACCAGGATGACTGATCCGTGTAAAGGAAAGAATGAATGGGGCCATGTATCGTGAGATTTTGAGTGACAACCTCCTTCCATAAGCAAGGGCATTGAAGATGAAACGTGGCTGGGTCTTTCAGCATTACAATGATCCCAAAAACACCGCCCGGGCAACGAAGGAGTGGCTTCGTAAGAAGCATTTCAAGGTCCTGGAGTGGCCTAGCCAGTCTCCAGATCTCAACCCAATAGAAAATCTTTGGAGGGAGTTGAAAGTCCGTGTTGCCCAGCGACAGCCCCAAAACATCACTGCTCTCGAGGAGATCTGCATGGAGGAATGGGCCAAAATACCAGCAACAGTGTGTGAAAACCTTGTGAAGTCTTACAGAAAACGTTTGAACTCTGTCATTGCCAACAAAGGGTATATAACAAAGTATTGAGATGAACTTTTGTTATTGACCAAATACTTATTTTCCACCATAATTTGCAAATAAATTCTTTAAAAATCAGACAATGTGATTTTCCGGATTTTTTTTCTCATTTTGTCTCTCATAGTTGAGGTACACCTAGGATGAAAATTACAGACCTCTCATCTTTTTAAGTGGGAGCAATTGCACAATTGGAGGCTGACTAAATACTTTTTTCCCCCACTGTATATCACATGAGCAGGTTACTCCAGAAATGGTGCTGTATACCGCAGCAGACAGCTCTCTCAATAACTACCTGCTTGCAGTCCGAAGCGTTATGAATGGTCTGGTGAGGATGCGATGCGGCAGGAGCTAACTGATCGACGGGATTTTGGTCACTGCTTCCTCTGCTGAAGGACATTTTACTCCCCATATCAAAGGTCTGTGAATAAAAAAATGACAAGAAGAATGTAACATACTAAAACAGTAACACATACAGTATTTTTACAAATGTGTAAATACTGCATGCTCTGCCTATTTGTCACTTTAACTTAAAAGTGACAAAGTATCTGCATTACAATTAACCCAGAGAGAAGCCTGCAAAGCAGTCACCGGACATCTTCATAACTTGACTGGGTATATTGATACTCTGTTGACACACATTGGTTTTGTCAGAATTCCTACAAAAAACACCTTTTAAGTGGCTGCCTAGTTAAAAACCTGTCTAGAAAGATAGCCACGTAGTTGATTTGTGATTTATTTTATAGCAGACTGTGTTAGTAAAGATGTACCTAGCTTTCCAAACCTGTGGTAGAAAGTAACTCCACACATTAAGTCAAGTACTCTAGTACTTCCACTTCAGGTTATTTACAGATATACAAGCATAATAATCAGAAAAAAATATTGTATTTGCCACCACTACTTTCAAATGCGTAACAGCAAGCATATTGACATTTTCATAAAAATACATGGATATTTGATAAATTATGACTTTTTGTTACAGAATAATCAGCCCAGCTGTTAGACAAAGGGAGCTCCATCACCACCAGTTGAGTCATTCTACAGAAAAGGTGGAATCTGGGTGATACAAATCTGCTGAAATATATTCCTTCTAAACACTGCTATTTAACTCTGTTAAATAGCAATAACTAACTCTTAACTTGATGAATCCACAACAAGTAGAGCTTAAAGTATTTTTATTATTTGTATACATTATATAAAGCTTATTTATATAAGAACGTCACTGGTGTTACGTGTTACCGGAAGAAAAGTAACACCAGTGACAATTTGGAGAAAACACTACCATTTTAACAAAATGGCTGCCATGTGTCAGACCAAATATGGCTTCAGTCAATATCAAAATCGTTTAACTCTTCAATACAATACATTTTCCCATTCAAATGTTCACCCCTAGGGCTATGCAATGAGTAACACTAATGACAGACTTGAAAGACGCACGTAAAATTTGAAGATAAAATGACACCTTTAACAAACAAAGTAAGAAGTATCTGACTTTCCTTATGTCTTTGTCCACTGCACTGCCTCAAATGATCTCTTGTTACAGGAGGCACTTCAGAGACAGTACATTATTTCAAAATAAAAGCGTTTTGTGTAGCAGTAACACCAAAGACTTAATTTTGGGTGACTGACATTTATTGGATATTATTAATAATAATTTACGTTTTTCTTTACCATTTCTCAAGGTTATATTTAATGTAGTGTAAATGTTATGTAATATGAAATGAAGATTTATTTAATGAACAACAAAAATCTTTTTAAATGAAAACTATACGCTCCACTTCCATGTATGATCAAAGTGACAAGGCAGTTCCTTGAACTTGGCATTTTAAATAAATTGCAATTTATGTATAAAACACATTTTTTAAATTTAGTACCATTGCAAAGACAATCTCTATTTATTCAAAAATATATAATGAATGTGAGTATTAGGTCAACGTCATGTGTTTTGGTGTCTGCAAAAGTAAGTGACAGTACTTCCACCTTGTATGTAGAATGACCCAGCTACAATATTAAAATGCTGCTAATACAATAAGGCACAATACTTTAACTTTTGGAACATTTTGCTGATGTTTGTTTTACTTTTCCCTCACTAAAAATGTTTATGCAGGGGATTCACTTGTGAAGCAGTTTTACTTCGTCGCATTACTACTTCTTGTATACAAGTATTGCATAATACTTTCCCCATCTCTATTTATAACGAGCTATGCATTATAGACTTTCAAGGGTAGATTGTACGCTTTGAAGCTTCTGAATTTGGGGAAAATGCCAACACTCAGATATGGTGTTTTGGTTTGTAAAGCTCAAGTATGAATATAACAGGTAATGCAAAACAAATCTACCTTAGTTTGAGTAGACAGACAGTGGTTTCTAGAGTCGACCCGCCTTACATTGCAGACATATTTGATATAATGGAGTCTTTCTGATGCACTGATCAATGGCCTTTGTTTGTAATTATTAGCAATAATCACACAGAAAACCACTCCGACGTAACCGTGTCAATGAACATGTATATTAAACACACACAACCAAACTGTTAGCTTTAGCATCAGGCTACCAGTTATCATTCAAAGCTATCAGCAGCATGACTAAGAACAATGTAGGCCTTATCTTTTGATAGGCCACATTGCTATCTCTGGTTAGGCTATACGTACCTCACCGTGAACAACAGTCATCTCACACAACTTTGAGGCTAATAACGCAGGCTAATTTCTGCACAGTGGTTATTTATCGTGATGGGTGTTAGTAAACACAAAGAGCTTGCCTGAGTGGGGAGTCAGCACTGGTCTCTGCGTAGCCATTCACTGACCGCTGCAACACCAGCTGGCACTGGCTAGCTAAATGCTAACATTTGGTTGGTCGTTTCAAGGCAGTTTGGCCCTTTTTACACTCATGCATTGGTCTGGGAGCTGGTCTGTAAACGTGGACCTTGCTTTCTCTTCTGTTCAAAGCTGTGAGCTGCTCGATATCCCCGCACAAAGCAACCCGAAAAATGTCAATCACAGAGAGCGCAGAGAGGGTGGATGCTTCAGATGGTGTGGGAAATGTGGGAATTATGAGACGTTGTGCTTTAGAAGTAAAGGCAGTGAAATACTACAATGTTATGCGAGATCAGCGCCATATAGATAGATTATATTATATGGCTCTATGCGAGATATAAGGTTTAAGGAAGCTGGAAAGTGAAACACCACCATCATTCGTTTTGCAACTAGTTAAAACTAATAATATTAATGTTCAGGACAGCTTTTTCAGTGAGACTTCTGCAAACATAGCGCCTTTATGTCTTGTTTTCGCTTTGAAATGGCTCCCTCTGCTGGGTACTGACAATAGACCATGAAAGCATCACTAATACATAGGGCTTCCGAATAAAATTGCCAGAAATAATAGATGAAGCAACACATGAAATAATTAAGATAACAGAAATGGTCAAATCAATATAAGTGCGCTAGGCACTGTGGAGGAGAGTCAGTTTAAATTCCCAATCAATCACTCCACCACATTTTCCAGAGGATTAAAAGTCAGTCATTTGTTTTTACAGTTTATGAATGAGAAAACATTGGATATTATAACATGCTGCATTATCCTATGATGAAAAAAACACTCAGTTTGAAAATACAGTTTAATACATAATACCTTTCAAAGTCTGACAAAGGTGGTAGGAACACATATTTCCTTATTGCATTCCAATTCCCACAGCATCTCAACACATTCTGATCATACTAAAAATATATTGAAGAACAAAAAAAACGTAATAGATAAACTGGTTACCCCACCAAAAATGGATAAGCCATGTACATACATTTTCAGAATGTTATCATAAACCTTTTCTATTATATTTTCAGGGGCACTGATTGTTTATAGTTCTAGCAAAAGAAACCGAGCTTTATTAAGATACATTAATATTGTCACCTTAAAATCATATGGAGAAACCCAGAGAGAATAGTGTTCTTGTGCAATTAAACTCAATAACTATATTTTGTTTTAACAGGACTGACTTTATGCACTTGGTCCATAAATGTGACATGCAAATTGGAGTTACATTTCAAATGTTGTCAAGTTGTGATAGGAACAGATGAGGTTACTTGGTATATCATCTCAGCAGGTTTGTCTGGTCCGCTTTCAACTATGAAACAATCATCGTCCATGTTGCCTCCTGTTTCCCCATCCACAGGAGCTGCTCCTTGCCCTTTGTTCAGACTACCAGACATGACTTGGTTTGTCTTTATGTTACCATAAGCTGAAACCCCAGATTTTCTCTCCCCATTCATCAAAACCGGAATTGGGCGTGTCAATGGTGCCACCCTCTTTAGTCTGTATCGTTTGCCATCTCGCACGTGCTGTGCCATAAACTCCTTTGCTCTGGCACACTTGTGCCTCTGTAGCAGCGGAGCAGATTCAAAGGGAAGATGACAGACTCGACATGGAAAACCATTTGATGCAGAGGATGTCTGCATTGGATAGTTTGATACACCTGAAGCAGACTGTGTGGGTGTTTTCAGCTGCACGAAGTGAGGGACAGGAAGCCCTCGACTTCCGTTATTGGATGCCCTGGGATGAGGATTCTTCGATAGTAGAGGGGAAGTGATATAAGGGCTGAAGGAGCTGGGACCCTTTGCTATCAGGCGCGGCAAGACATTAAGCCCCTGACTGCTTTTAACGTGTGCACTGATTTTCTGTTTTTTCAGATGCAGGGTGGAAATCCCGGCTCGACTGCCTTTCCTTGCAGCAGTGGGACTTTGACTTTTCAGCTGTTGAGAGGAAGCGGCCAAAGGCCCCTCAACCCTTGGAGTACTGCCTGTACTGGCAACGATTGGCTTCTTGAAATTTAGCGGAATAGCAGTGATGAGTCTGGATTTGGTGGTATTGTTGGGTGCCTTACAAAAGTGAAAGCGGGGTACTACTTTCTTGCTGGAGAGGAGCAGCCCACATCCTATACAGCCAGATATTTTATCTATTACATGAGAGCTGTGGTGGGATATGAGGGAGGTTTTTCTCTCAAAACAATGCCCACATTTAGCGCATGTGTAAGGTTGTGTCTTGTTAAATTTGCGCAGTGTTTGCAAAATCACAACAGGTTGGTAAAGTGACCAAAGATCTACAGTTGGTGCACCTACACCTGCAAAAATGTTCTGCACGTCTTTCTCACTGGGTTTAATGAGCACAGGTGTTTGTGACAGAGAGCTGTTCAGCAGAGGCACTTGTGAGATCTGTGCAGACTGCATGGGAACTTGTGGCATTAGAGCTGATGTCATGGGTCCTTTCAGCAAAGGTGTCCCCAGACGAGACACTGATGGCACATTGTTTAGTTTAGGCACCTTCCAGACCACCTCACCAGTCTGTAGTCTTTTCAGCTGCTGCTCCTCTTCTATACGCTTCTCAATTCTGCGCTTCTGTATTGTTCCATGATCAAGGACTTGGTGACCTGGCTCATGTGTTGTGCTGTGGTCCAGCACATCTTTGTATTCAGCAAACTCAGTGCCACATGAGCAGATATGACTTGCAGCAGAACAAAAGTGTTCCTCCAGGCATTTCCGATTTGCAAATATCTGCTCACAGCTGAAGCAAAACCGCCCTGCATTCATTAAATCTCTGCCCAGGTCATCCTCCAGGATATTTTGCAGTTTTGATTTTCCCCTCTCCATCATCAGGTTGGGTATGGAAGTATTCACTGCTGGTGTGGAGCACTGGAGCACCTTTGCTGTTGGAGACAAGTGTTGGAATCATTGCAATCATAAACATATTCAATAAAATAAAAACCGTTGTACCTCACCATGATGACTGATGCTATCTGAATCAGTAGCTAGTTATGCTAACGGCTATATACAACTGGATGCTAAGCTTAGGAGACGGCTGTAATATAAAAATACACTTTCATATACCCATGAACATTTGTTCGTTTCAGACAGAAAGACAAAACTTTAGGGAGTGTCAAATAAACTCGTTATTTGGTCATTTACATAGTTCTAACAAACAGTCCAAATATTGTGGAATGCAAACATAGTCTTCCATCTATCCAATTAAGTTGAAAGACCTGCTTTGATATACTACTTCATAGTTGGGGAAATACGTTATTTAGTCTTGTTTTACGTTTCTTCTGAATATTATTTTGTTGTACGCGCCATTGCCTTGGGAAAAATCTAGCATGCTAACGTTAGCTTCAACTAGCTTACAAAAACGAGAGCTTACCTTCACATTAAAGTGTATCCGTGTTAATATCCTGGCATATCCTGGGACAAAAAAAAACAAACAATGAGTCGATTGTAGTTTTGAAAGTCAGTGAACATCAGACTGACCTGTCGGTGTTTTATCTAGTCGGTTGCAGTTAGCCCATTAGCCACACCAAAACCAAAGAGGAAATACCTCCACTTCTTCTACTGATGGCGCGCTTCGACAGCAGGAAGTGCGGGGTTTGCATCGTTATACTGACACCTATCGTCTGGACTCCGGAGGCTTAACTTCTGTATGTATAATGAGTGTTTTTAGCACTCGCAGTCTATGTCTCTTGTCTTTATTACACAGAGAAGAATAAAGACCATCTACATGACGTCTCTGCTCAGTCTGCTGATATGGACTGTGTCATTCACTAGGTTGGGTCAGATGAGGCCTACTTTCAAATGTCATTCAAACTATTTTATAATACTGGATATGCGACCATGGTAACAACCGTGGTAACAAGCATAAAAAGGGATAAAAAAACGTTATTTTAAATAATGTTATAATATACATAGGTACTGAATACAAGTACATAAAGATGTGATACTAACACAACTATCTAAACACTGCTAACTAAACTGAACTTGTTTCAAGTGGATTATTTCAAAATCTAACAATTCAAATATTGCCTATTTTTGTCCTTCTTTTTATACAAAAGATGAATACGGACAACATAATTTCAGTCCCACAAATATTCCACATACAAAGACATTATTTTTCCTTCCAAATCATTTCAATGCATTTGATCTTTTATTGTGTTCAGATGTATGCTGGGCTGACCATTTTTTATTTCTGAAATCTGATTAAGTTATCCCAAGTACAAGAAGTCCATTACTTACCGACCCTGGAAACAGTTAAAGGCTCCTGAGCAAAAGAGCAATAGGGCCAGTCCTTTAGAGAAGTACCAGGGCTATAACAGTTTATATTGCCATATTAAAATATGATTGTGCAAAGTTCATAAATAAACAGGACTGGGGAGTCTCATAGCATTCAAATCATAGTAGAAAGTCAGAGGTCTAGATTTAAGTTTTCTTTTAACCAACATTTTGATTTGCTTCAATTTTATCTATTTTAGCTCAAATGTATTACCTTCTACAACTATTTAACAGAAACTAAAGAAAAAAAGGAGATCAGGGGTCATGCTGGTTTGTTGATCGTAAAGGTCAGCTTCAGCGTCAGACAGACGAAGACTGACAAAGACATAAGAGTCCTGCAGGAGTCACGAGGGAGGCAAAGAGGACGCAAATCCTACTTTGATTGAGCTAAGTATCGCTGGTGTTTTGTTTTTTAGCCCCTCATGCTATAATCATGTGTATTTTCTCTATTCCTGTTCATGTGTCTTCTCGCAATTATCACTGGCCCCGTGTATCTCCTAATCAATATAACCGGCCTGCTCTCGTCTATCCCACATGCTCCACTGAGATCCAACATCTCGTTTCAGGGGGCCTGTGGAACTGCCAGTCTGTTCCTAAGGCTGACTTCATCTCTGGCTACGCTTCCCTCCAGTTTATGGATTTCCTTGCTCTCACTGAGACCTGGATTACTCCATCCAACACATCCACCCAAGCAGCTCTTTCCACAGCATATTCCTTCTCCCATAAACCCAGACCCACTGGCAGAGGAGGTGGCACTGGTCTCCTGCTCTCTCCCAAATGGAGCTTTTCCCTCTTCAAGCTACCTAACTTCGCTCCTTCCACCTTTGAATTCCATGCCGTCACAGTAACCCATCCTATACAATTAACCATTGTTGTTCTCTACCGTCCACCAGGCGCCTTGGGGGACTTCTTGGAGGAATTAGATAATCTCCTCTCACACATCCCGGAAACTGGCCCTCCCGCTGTACTTCTCGGAGACTTCAACCTCCAGACAGGGAAGATAGACGAACTAAAATCTCTGTTAACCACCTTTGCTTTCTCACTCTCTCCATCCCCACCAACTCATAACGCTGGCAATGTCCTTGATCTCATATTCTCAAGGAACTGCACTACTTCTAACCTCTCTGTAAACCCGCTGCACACATCCGATCACTTCTTCATTTCATTCTCTCTACCCCTTTCCAAACATAACAACCTCATCTCTTCTAACTCTGCCCCTGTCCAAACATAACAAACTAATCTCTTCTCATCCTGCACCTGTCCGCCACAACCTTTGTTCCCTCTCCCCCTCTACCCTTGCCTCATCAGTGTTCTCAGCCCTCCCTTCCTCTGACTCGTTTCCAACTCCTGCCTCCAAACTCTGCTGCAGAAACTCTCCTCTCTACTCTCTCTGGACTCTCTGGACTCTCTCTGTCCTCTCACATCTCGGCAGGCTCGTCAGTCCCCTCCTGCTCCCTGGCTAAATGACGCACTGCGTGCTAATAGAACCATC